TGAAGTAGCATTTAGATTATTGTAAAAAAAATACCTTACTAACATTAATACTTTTGTCTTCCACTTCAGTAGAATGAGATACTCTTCAAAAATTGTTTAATGTAGAGGATGGAGAATAGTACTTCCATAAAGTGAAAAGGGACAGAAGTGAAGAACTTCTCAGCTTTTATGTGCTTTATTTATTTATTTCAAATTCTGCATTGTCTTCAGATCATTTCCTGCTTCTGGCAGATGTTTGGATTTTCTTTTTGCATTGTCTCTATTCTTCTGTTCATATCTTTCTTATAGCTCCTCTTTGGTTTTCTTACTTTTGTTTTAACCTATCATAATGACAGCTGTAAAAGCTCTTGCTATTACCTTTGCAGTGATGGTACGCCAAGTTATTTCAGAGCAGATTATTTAAATAACAGAAGGTTATAATGCCGTTTCATTTATGTTTGCTTCTTGCAAAATGAAAAATTGCTCTGTTTTGATGAGCATCAGTTGATGCATTTGCTGTCATCACTTTCCATCATGCAGAGCTTCAACCTGCAGGTTAAATACTGGCTCTCTGGCTGTTTCCTGTATGTTAGGCAATCATAATTAGATTATTAAAGTATTCTCATATTTTTTAAGGGCATAATTCCTCTTTACCACGTGGTGGTGCCAAAGATAGGTAAACCAAATATCAGCAAACTTGGAGTGCTCAACAGACAAGAACATGAGCTGTTGCAAAAGGGGCTTAGAGATAACAGGCTTGTGTTGAACATCAATAAATGCACTGTGGATATTAAGAGTTGATCTTTTGAGCTGTGTGGAACCCTTTTTATATCCATAGATGGAAGCATGATGTGAACGTGGGGGGCATGGGAGGGTTGTTGTGCTGGTGCTGTGTAGCAAGAAGTAATCCAGCTAGTTTGGAGAATACTCCTGTGTAATAATAATTAAAAAAAAAAGCTTTATTAAAAGCATGCTTGAACTTAATTAGGCATTCAGTTGCACAAATGATCTTTCCACAAAATGTTATTTTAGTATGTAAGTAGAATTTTAACCTTGTCTGTAACTATTGATCCACATGTGGCAATTTTACTGAACTCTTGTTTAAAAAAAAAAAAAAAAAACTGATGGAAGAAATGATCCAAGTATGATTCTCTTGCTAATTACTTCATTTTCATTTCATTTCGAGTAATATGTTTCAGTATCTGGGAATGAGAAGCTGTTTGGTTTAGAGGTTTGTAAATCAATTGTTTATATAAACTGAGTCATATGAGACCTTTGATTTTGTTACTGCTAAACACAAAAATCAAAGAATATCAGCATAAAGGGTCACATAATTATGTTTTCTTATGTGGTATGTTTTCATCAGTATCCCCCTAAAATCATCAGTAATACAAATCTTTGTTTGTAGTGTCAGTTTTGATGTTATACTTGTAGTTTTAGTCGTTTTGGAAGAGTAACTGCTTTGGGGGGAGGGTTAAGTTTGTGGAGTTTTTTTTTTTTTTCAGTGATAAATCTAAGTAACTTAAGTGATATAACATGCTGTTAAATAAAAAGGAATATGGCAGACTTTTCGTGACAATTAGGAAGCTTTCAAAGGAAAGTTTTGTGATTCATCCTATTTTCTTACG